AAGGGAACAAGATGCTCAGGAGTTAATTAATCAATGGTGCCACCTGGTGGTCCAAGAGTACATTTTGTGATGTCCATATACCAGTAATTCTTATTTTCTTTCCCTCTCCCCCAGCCCCTCTTTGTCTCTGTCTCCAAGATCTCCATCTCCTAATCCTTGTACTTCCACCTCCCAAGTACTAAAGTGGCATGTGACACCACTCCTTGTTTTGATTTCTAAAAACAATAGTCTCATTGGGTTTTGAGACAGGTGTTTGTTTGTTTGTTTTTAGATTTATTTATTTATTTATTTATTTTGTATACAACATTCTGCCTCCAAGCCAGAAGAGGGCACCATATCTCATTACAGATGGTTGTGAGCCACCATATGGTTGCTGGGAATTGAATTCAGGACCTCTGGAAGAACAATCAGTGCTCTTAACCTCTGAGCCATCTCTCCAGCCCGTTTGTTTGTTTTTTAACAACTTTTTTTTTGGTTTTTGGATTGATAGGCTAAGTTTTATTGACATTTTTATTCACAAAATGCACATATAATTTAATAACTAGTAAATAATAATAATAACATAACTATGAGGACCCACTCGTGAAAATTAGAAGTACCCAAATCATTGCATCTAAGTATGTATTCTGTTTTGTCTTATTTTTCTTTTCCTCCCACTATTGGTAATCAGTTCCCTCAAACTGATCTTAATTTGGTTTTGTTTCTGAATTTTATTAATAAAGTTACTATATCCTATAAAATAATCTCTGAAATACAGCCAGCATCATACAGGAATGTTTCCTAGATCCCTCATCCTTTAGCAGTTCTGAAGAGTCGATTGAAAATTTTTTTGTTTTTTAACAACTCTTAAGTTGTTTCGGCAGGGGTGGGGAATTCATAATGCTACAAGTCTAACCTGGCAGCTGAAATGATACTACTCCCATGATTCCTGTGAACATTTCTGCAGGACCAGGTCCTAAATGGGAGGTGGTAACATACTCATGAGTATGCAGGTTGTCTGTCTGGTCTCCTTCCCTGGTTTCACCTTGGCTTCAGCCAGTCATGGCAGCTGATGGTTTCGGTGCTGCCTGACTCACACAGATCAGTCATTGTCCTCATGCTGCTGCCAAGATCCTGGCTGATTCATAACTGTTGAAAGGGATCACGGAGGAACAGACAGATGAATGGACAGATAGATGGATGAGTTGCAAAGTTGAATTATAGAGACTAGTATCACTTCTTTAAAATTGGAAGAAGGGTAACCTATCTCCTTTCTTGATTAATAGCTTCTGGTAATGGGACTGGAGAGATGGCTCAATGGTTAAGAGCACTGGCTGCTCTTCCAGAGGACTTGGGTTTAATTCCCAGCACCCACATGGCAGCTCCCTGTCTGTAACTCCAGTTACTGGAGATCCAGCACCCTCACACAGACATACATACAGGCAAAACACCAATGTACATAAAATAAAAATAAATAACTTGAAAGAATAGCTTATTGTAACAGCATCTTTAGTATATTTTCTGTGTAACAGCTGTACTGAGCCCCTGTTCCTAAGAACTCAGGCTGGTGGGCCAGCAGCCTAGTTTGAACACTAGCCCAAACACAAACAAACCAACAAATGAAAAATGCAACTTAACACTTATCAAGCTCTGAAAAAATGATTGATTCTGAGGTCAGGATTTCCTAATATTCGTATTTTCCAGGAAGCTTTGTTGGGATAAAGAAATGATCCTATTTGCAGAAATGTACTTTTCTATAGAGGAACTTGCCAAGAGTCTGACATTGAAGTAAATCTTCCTTACCCAGGCTCTTCAGCTAATTACAAGCTTAAAGAAAACCACCTGGATATTAGGAATGAATATTAAAAGGGGAAGTTTGAACTGGCAATATGATTCAGGGTCAAAGGTGCTTACTGCCATCCTTATGTCCTGAGTTCAATCCCCAAGCCCCCATGGTAGAAGGAGAGAACCAACCCTTACAATTTATCCTCTGACCTACATTGTACGTTGTGGCATGCCTGTGCCTCACAAACATACACATATAATAAATAAGTAAATGTTAAAAAATAAAGAAGGGTAAGTTTGTTGAAACCCTAACACTTGTTTTGTTCATTTTTGAGACAGTGTCTCACTGTACTAGAGGCTAACCTTGAATTCATCAGCTTCCTATGTGCTGGGATTATAGGCATGAACACTGTGCAGGGCCTCAATACTAGCACTTTTAGCCATAGATTGGTAAAGACAGAGTCATCAAACATGGCTTATATATGGAATGAATTCTGAGTAGAGTCCAGGTGAAAATAGCTTGCTTTGTTTTATTAAGACAGAGCCTCCCTCTGTTGCCCAGGCTAGCTTGAAGCTCACCATGTATTCTAGCCTTAGATTCCAGGAGATCCTTTTGTATCAGGCTCCTAAGAGGTAGAGTTACAGGCATGAGCCACTGCACCTGGCTTAATAAGCGGGTTTTTTTTTTTTTTTTTTTTTTTTTTTTTTTTGGGGGGGGGAAGCATAGTTCATAAGCAAACATATTTCATCAGAAGCATGCCTTCCTACATACAGGTCTAAATTTCTAGGGACTTTCCCTGGTGGGATAAAAGCTTTGCCATGCCTCAAGGAAGCTCACGATGGTCATATACAACACCTTGTAGGTTTATTCCATGCTGGATATTTATTATGCACATATCTAAACTCCATGGGCTCTTAGATAGTTATCCCAGAGAGAGGAACTCCCTGGAAGTTTGAGCATATCCATCATTATTACTTTTGGAAACTAATGCTAACATCCAAGTTTCCATATTTGTTTGTGAGCATGACTTGTGAGTCCTCAGGCTGGAATTATATCTGCTCATGGCATTGCTAGACAGAAATTGATACTCCACTTTCCAATGTGCTTTTCATCTTCCCATTTTCTGCACTTCTAGTGGCATTAGTATTACTGACTTCAGCCTTTATTTAGAGAACTTGCTGGGTGGTGTGGGTGATGGAATATGAATCTTGCAGATGAGAGTAGACAGAGTGAATAACTGCCTTGTCATGCCCTGTTCAAAGGAGAAAACATTGCTTTCAAACAGAAAGTTCTATAGGGAAGAGGGGAAGATCCAAGAAGGGCCTTGGGAACTATCAGCTGAAGACCAGGGATGTAGTTCAGTGATAGACCATGTGCTAAGCATGTCCAAGGACTTGGGTTCCATTCCCAGCACCACACACACACACACACACTCTCACACACACATGCATGTACACACATACACACATGCACAGCAGTGAAGAATATGAGTCAGGTTTTTTTTATAACGTATTTTTTAAGATTTTATTTATTATGTATACAACATTCTGCTTCCATGTATATCTGCACACCAGAAGAGGGCACCAGATCTCATAAGGATGGTTGAGCTACCATGTGGTTGCTGGGAATTGAACTCAGTACCTCTGGAAGAGAAGTCAGTGCTCTTAACCTCTGAGCCATCTCTCCAGCCCATGAGTCTGGTTTTATATGTAGAGCTAGAAGAAGGGATCCACAAGAGGAGAACAGTTAGAGACAGATAGCATGGAGCCAGCAAATACACGGAACATATTGGAACTGAAGGGGCCCATGTTCCATAATAGCAAGGAAATGAGAAGAGTGAGCCATGGGCACTGCCGTGAGGGCTGGTGAGTTCTAAAGAAAGTAAGTGGAGGGATAGCAAGGACACCCAGTGTCTCCCAACAGAGAAGTAAGTGTTGTCAAAAGTCCATACTTCGGGATTAAAGATTAATTTGATATTAAAGATTAATACCAAAAGACATATTCTGGTATTAAGGATTCATCAAATAGAACCTTTTCCCATATTGTAAGGCATAGTACACCCTGTTGTCTATTTACATGCCATCTTCTTCTAGCCTAGGGTTTCTCAACCTCAGCCATTTGGGTTATCCGTTGTGAGGCTGTATCAAGGATGTTAACTACATCCCTAACCTCCAACCACCAGATGCCAGTAGCACTCTTCCCCCTAGCTGAGACAATGAAAAGTGGCTCCAGACATTGCCAGAAGTCCTGGGGGCAGAGGTACCTTCGTTTGGAAAGTGCTGGTTTAGAGCACACGGGAAGTTACTTTGGTGTCCTGAGTATTTGTAGATTCTTAGATTGAAAAATCTGTCTTTTGGGCCTTGAGTATATTAATGTCTTGAGGAAAGATCAAGGTATTTCATGTATGATGGAGTAAATTTCTTAAGTAAACATTAGGAAACCTGGATTACATTTTTGGCTCAGGGACAAAAAAAGTTGTGTGACTTAGGTGAGATGTTTAGTTTAGTCATATGACACTACACCTTCTCTTTTTCTTTTCATGGTTTTTGTTTTGTTTTGTTTTGTTTGGCCAGTGTACACTGTGGAAGTCAGGCTGTGTTAGCTTCAAATATTAGATCCTCCTACCTCCTGCCTCTGTTTAGGGGTGAGGTTATAGGTGTGTACTCCAAGGCCTGATGATTTCTTATCTTACCTCTTACAGCCGTGGTTCTCAATCTATGGGTTGCGACCCCTTTGGGGGTTGAAGGATGCTTTTACAGGGATTGCCTAAGACTATTGGAGAACACAGATACTTACATTATGATTCATAACAGTAGCAAAATTACAGTTATGAAGTAGCAATGAAAACAATGTTATGGTTGGGGTCACTACAACATGAGGAACTGTAGTAAAGGGTGGCAGCATTAGGAAGGTTGAGAACCACTGTCTTTTTTTTTCTTTTTTTATGGGGGGGGTGTTTCAAGACAGGGTTTCTCTGTGGCTTTGGAGGCTGTCCTGGTACTAGTTCTTATGGACCAGGCTGGTCGTGAACTCACAGAGATCCACCTGCTTCTGCCTCCTGAGTGCTGGGATTAAAGATGTGGGACACCACCGCCTGGCAAGAATCACTGTCTTATAGTCTGTAGTTCTGGTTCTATGTACCTGATCTTGGGGTTTTGTTCTTCCACATTGAAAAGATGAGTTGGGGGTTGTCCTTGTGGCATTGTTCTAAATACTCTGTTTTGTTCTTTTCTAGACTATTTAAAGAACCTTCTAGAAGACTCTGTAGATCACAGGGACACCCAAGGTAACTAACCTTTGTAGCCTTCTGTTTACAAAAGCTTCTGTGTTATGTTTACTTAGGCCTGGGAAGGAAAAATATGCTGAGAACAAAACCCTCATATGAAACTCCTTTTTACAAGTCCCTTGGGCAGATGGATCTGGAAGGAGGAGGGGAAGTGGCAAAGTGCCACTGGAGTCAGGTAATGGTAGTCACTGGAGTTCTCCAGTGGAGATAGGGCAGGCCTGGTCAGGAAGCTTCTTCCTTATGCTCTCTGTCATTCTGTTGTAGGGGATTCAGTCTGAGGCTAGCCTGGGCTACAGTTTGATACCCTGACTACAGACAAACAAAGCAACTCATAAAAGGATAAAGTCTAAAGTAGCCTGTTATTTTGAGAACATTTATTGCTAGAAGTTTAATACCTTTCCATCCCTCTTAAACCTCAACACCCCTCCAATCCCCTCTACACCCCTCACCCCTCAACCCCCACCCCTGACATTTTGGAGACAGATTATATAATATACCACAAGATGTCCTCAAACACAAGATCCTCCCAAGTTTGAGGATTACAGATGTGTGCCTCCATCCCTGGCCTTTATAGTAAGGAAAATAGCCTCCACAGCACAAGGAAGTACATTCTCTGTCCCTTTCTGTCAGCCTCTCCATCTCAGATTAAATCTGGTCCGAGTTTCTATTTTTGCTTCTATTACCCCCTCCAGGTGTCAGAGGTTGGTCATTGGTTCTTCAGAAATACATTAAACAAGTCCATGTCCACCTTATCAATTAGTGAATTTTGATTATATTCTTATATATTCTATATATTTTCAGATTTAAAAATTGAGTGAGCATGGGGGGATAGAGATATGTCTCAGTGGTTAAGAGCATTTTTTCTTGCAGGGGACCTGGCTTCAGGTCCCAACACCCACACACTGGCTCATAGCCATCCATAACTCCAGTTCCAGGGGATCTGATGCATTCATCTGGCCTCTGCAAGCAACAGGCATGCACATGGTACACCTACCTGGGGGTAAAACACTCATACACATAAAATAAAATAAATTTTTAAAAATTGAGCTTGTTTCAAAGCCATTTTTGGAGATTCATAATCATTGTCTCAATCAACTTTTTATTTTTTCGAGACAGGGTTTCTCTATGTAGTCCTGGCTGTCCTGGAACTAGCTCTGTAGACCAGGCTGGCCTCAAACACACAGAGATCCACCTGCCTCTACCTCCTGAGTGCTGGGATTAAAGGTGTGTACCATCATTGCCTGACTCATAATCAGTTTGTTGTTGTTGTTGTTTTGGTTTGTTTTGTTTTTTTGAGACAGGGTTTCTCTGTATTGCTTTTGAGCGTGTCCTGGAACTCATTCTGTAGACCAGGCTGGCTTCAAACTTTCAGAGATTCGCCTGCCTCTAGCTCCCAAGTGTTGGGATTAAAGGCATGGGCCATCAGCGCCCGGCTTCATAATCAGTTTTTAAAACAAGTTTTAATTGTAGCATAGGTTGACTTAAAGTTGCTATATAGCCAAGGATGACCTTGAACTACTAATCTTCCCACCTCTGTGTCCTAAGTGCTGTGGTTACAGATGTTTCCCACCCAAGTCTTGCTGTTTTGTTTTGAAGCAGAGTGGCTTTTACAACGTGATCTTGCCTCAGCCTCTTTTGCTGGCATTATAAGCCTGTGCCTCTACTCCCAGCTTAGTTTCTTTGATGTAATTGTTATTTGTGATACTATAAATTCAATTCAGGCCATGTCCTAAGCAAATGCTCTGCCACTGAATGACAACCATAGCTCAAAGTTAGACTTTAGAAAGCATTTTATTTTCAAAGAAAAGTTTGACATTGCTTAAGCAATGTTTCATGTCTTCAGTGATGACATAGTACAGTTGATGAAGAAGTTTGAAATCTCTGTCAAATAATAAAAGCCAGGTGTTGGTGGCAAACGCCTATAAGACCAGCACTCAGGAGGCAGAGGCAGGTGGATCTCTGTGAGTTCAAGACCAGTCTGGTCTACAAGAGCTAGTTCCAGGACAGCCTCCAAAGCCATAGAGAAACCCTGTCTCGAAAAACAAAAACAAAAACAAAAAAACAACAACAAACAATAAAGGCAATAGCTGTGGAGTACAGATGCCCTGAGCCATACATAGTCATGTGGAAAGAGGAAAATAGGATAGTTGCAGAGGCAGAGAAGATTGGCTTAGGGAAAAGTAGCACTATAGATGAACTGGAGTAGGCAGGAGGGAGAGGAGTCATTGCTCAGAGTCTGTCCCATGAAGGATAAAAAGGAAGACCCAAGTTCAGCAGTCTAACACATACTCAGCACACACAAGGCTTGGGTTTGTTCCCCAGGACACCCCCCCCACACACACACACACACTGTTATTATGATCTTGGCAAGCAGAGTCCCAAGAGACTGATGTCCACGTCCCAGGACTTCTCCCTTCAAAAAAATTAGTCACTGATTCTGTAGATGAAGCAAGTAGAGTTTGAGTTGAAGGATCTTGATTCATGGAGATGATCTACCTTCAAAGAAGCACCGAGTACATAAGCAGTGACAGGAGGATGCACTGTGGTCAGAAGCAGAGCAATAAATGGTGTGGAGGGCAGCTGTGGATTAGGCTGTATGAGGGAGGGGGTAATTAAGCAAATGCATGTTTGAAAGATGGACAGCCAAGCTAAAGGGTAGAGTCATAAGCATCTCTTAAGGAAATGATACATAGAGAGTAGAATTGTAGAGCTTGAAGACCAGTTGACCAAGTAGCAGCATCTTTATCACTTATCCTCTCAGTCCTACGGTCCTTAACGCTGCTCACTGCACATTGCAGCAAGCCAGAGAGATGAACATATCCAGGGTAACCATGAGTATGTTCTGTGAAGACAATGTCAGGGGCATAAGTTCTGGCATATGGTAGGGATTATGATGTAAGGAAACCCTACTTTCCTTTACAACAGTGATAAATCAGGTTTGGAGTGTAGCTCAGTAGTAAAGCCCTAGTCTAGCATGAATGAAAACCCAAGTTTTATCTCCAGAATATCACACATATACACACAAGGTTTTTAAGTTGAAATGTTGAAGAGCATCCATGTTTAAGGAATATGGAAGCCTCCAGGGTTAGTGCTAGATAAGAGTACCCAAAGCCAGGAATGGTAACACAGAAACAAAATTCTAGCATTCAAGAAGCAGATTCAAGATCAAGAATTTAGGGGACAGTGGTAGCAAATCCTTTCAATCCCAGGACTCCGGAGGCTGGTGGATCTCTGAGTTCTAAGCCAGCCTGGTCTAGAGAGCAAGTTCCAGGACAGCCAGGGTTACACAGAAAAACCCTGTTCTCCATAAACAAATGAAACCAAGCAAGAAAAGATCAAGAATTTAAGGCCAGCCTTAGCTACATGAGAAATAGCTCCTTCGTTGCTCACCACTTACATAAAGCTCTGAGAGAGCATGGTTTCTCCTTTAGCATTTTTCCTGCTTGTATCAGAATGTCCCTTGTGATATGTGCAGAATAAGCATCTTTGTCTATGTTAGTGAGAGTGCAAGGGTGTTAGCTCCTCTGCTGCCTACCTAACAAGGGTTAGTGGGACCTTCCTGTCACTGTAACAAACTATCTTTACACATGTCCTTTATGGAACATTCTGACTTGGATGAGACAGCCATATCCCCAGACAAAAGATAGACTTAGCTAGGTGTGGTGGTATGTGCCTATTATCCGAATATTATTATTCCAGCTGAGGCAGGTTTGAGGCCAACCTGTAATTACAGGTTTGAGGCAAGGCCCTGTCTGAATAAATACATAAATGCTTTTCTTTTATACCATGTAGCTATAAACATGCTGTGGCTGGATCATTTAAAAACACCCGTGAAAGGCAAAGGGCTAATACAAATTACAAACCAAAATTTGTTCCATGAAGCTAAATAACTCAGCATACAAATTGATGCCTGCAGTTTCCATGCTAAGGTCTGGTGTGCTTCTGTGTGGTATTCTTCCCTTCTCTCCTTCTCTTCTCTCCATCCCTCCCTTTTCCCTCTTCCTCTACTGAGGATGAAATCCAGAGCTTCTCACTTTCCTTATTCCTAATTCAGATCCCTTTAAATCAGTCTAAGAGAGGAAGTCTGAACCCCAGCCCTCTTCTGCTTGCTTTTGTTTTGGGAGGTTTTGGTTTCTTGGTACTCAAATTGAACCAGGGCCTTAGGCGTGTAAAGTACATGCTATGTCATTGAGCTATACTTCCAGCCTGACTCTCTTCATTAGAATCAGTTTCTTCATGACAGTTTCTAGTAGGAAAGGCCTTAGCTACTAGATAACAGCCTGTTCATGACCCTGTAAACTTCAGCGGAGTAATCCCATCTCAGCAAGCCACCTGACACAGCATCTGTGGCTCCTTAGTGTTGTTCCTTTGGTTTTGTTTCTTTTGTCTTGTTTTGTTTTGCCTGTTTTCCCATGGATATCCTCCCACTGAATCTTAATGTCTATAATTCTGGCTACTCACAGGCAGTACAGTTTAGTTGCTGTTTAGTAGGTCTTTTGTCAACTGGAATTGCCTAATGTTGGAATCTGTTGCTTCATTGTCAATGACTAAATGTCCTTTCTTTCTGCATTTTTTAGATGCCCTAGCTGTTGTTATAGAGGTAGCCAACCATGCCAATGACACCATGAAGCAAGGGGTAAGTCTAGAAATCAAGGACTGGTACACTATGGAACCTGGAAGCACAGCCATCACACATGCTCTACATTGTCTCTCTGTAGGACAACTTTCAGAAGCTTATGCAGATTCAGTACAGCTTAAGTGGACACCATGAAATTGTGCAACCTGGGCGGGTAAGTGTTTTAGAATACCTTCTACAGTTTAATACAGTGTATTTGGGCACTGTCAGTAACTATTTTCATTTTAGTTTCGAAAATGAGTTATGCTACTCTTCATTGACCTAATATACATCATTCTAGCCATTCAAAACAGTATGATGTAAGTCACAGTGACAGGCAGTCCATTTCAATTAGGAGAGAGGCAGAGGACCCCATGGGATTCCCATAAGGTAATTTAATGGGATCATTTGATTTTGTAATACCAACTGAACTCACACAGCTTTGAAGGCAATGCCATTTAAAGTCTGTAGAGAGGTCTAGAAGGGAAAGAGATTGCTGTTTTGATGCTCCTCACAGAGCACAGAAGTGGTCTAAGAAATGAATTCAGGAAGTTGCAAAATATAATTGTGAGGTCATTAGATGTGCCTCAACATCCGGTACACATAGGCCGTTATGTGTCAGTCCACAGACTACCCCTGGAGCCAATGCAGGATTTATGAAACTGATTGTTATGTCTGAATTCTTTTTAACATTTCTTTATAATTTTTGGTTCCATGTTTATCTCCCCCCCTCCCCCCCAGACAGGGTTTCTCTGTGTAGCTTTGGAGCCTATCTGGGCACTCACTCTGTAGACCAGGCTGGCTTCGAACTCACAGAGATCCAACTGTCTCTGCCTCCTTAAAGGCATGTGCCACCAATGCCCAGCCCATTTTTATCTTTTTAAGAAAAAAATTACATTATATTTATGTATGTGGGTGGGGGGGTTCTAAGGACAACTCTTGGGAGGCCTCCCTCCTTCTACCATGTAGGTCTCAGGGATTAAACTCAGGCCATGAGGCTTGCATCCCTTACCTTTAACCACTGAGCAATCTCAGTGGCCCCTCTTTATCTTTTTTAAGACAGTCTCATATAACCCAGGCTAGCCTTGAACTTGTTTTCCTCCTGCCTTCACATCCCAAGTGCTAGACTTACAGGATAGCACTCCACCACATGCCTGGTTTATTGAGGTGCTAAAAACTCAAACCCAGTGCTTCATGCATGCTAGGCAAGCATCCTGACAACCGAACAAATTGTCACCCGGTTTTTCTCTGAAAAAAATGTGTTTGTTCATTTTTATTTTATACTTATGAGAGTTTTACCTGCATGCGTATGTGTACCATGTGTCTGCAGTGCCCTCAGAGGCCAGAAGAGTGTGTCAGATCTCCGGAACTAGAGTTACAGGTTGCTGAGAGCTATGCTCTGCAATTAGTAATCTTACCAATCTTATCCCCTAGGCCTTCGCTCCAGCTCCCCACCTCCTGTTCTTTAGTCCCATTTTTAAATCGCTTGTAGGGTATAAAAAGAAACCAAAACCGTAAAAATCACAAAGAAACAATTCTGAGAGAATGTTGAAAGGAAATTCTATGTGTGTTGTTATTATGTGGCAATGATAGGACTAACTGAATGTTTGCTTGGATGAATTAGGTTTTTCTCAAAGAAGGCATTCTGATGAAGCTGTCTCGGAAAGTCATGCAGCCCCGAATGTTTTTCCTGGTAAGAGGCTCTGCACGGTTTCACATGTCCAGGTCATTGCTTAATGGAAGGCATGTATGGTAGATGAGCTAGTGTACTTAGTGGCTTGGGGGCGTTTTGGCAACCAGATCACTTGTTTCAAGCATAGGAAATGATGAGAACTGTTAGGCTTAACCAGAATTTTTTTTTCTTTTTGGAATTTAATTAATTTCATTTTAAATTTGGAAGAATTGTTTTAACCAATTGTTCATGCAGATTATAATATTTTAGTGTGAGTTAGAATCCATAAAACATTAAATCTCTACTACAACTTGGAAATGAAGCACATTGCTTTAGAATTTTTTTGACAGGTAACCTTTTCCTTTTTTCCTTTTGTGTTTTTTTTTTTTTTTTTTTTTAAATTTTATTTTATTTTATTAGTTCTAGTTAGGGAACAAGCTTATTTCAAGTCCCTTCTCCCTCTCCCTCCCCTCACCCCCAAACTTTCT